TCATAGGGTTCAGGTGGAAAAATAACAAAGTCATCTTCTAAAGCTAGTCTTATAAAAAAAAATGAATAAACCTTTATTTGTACCTCTCTATGGAAACCTTTACACCACAACTTTTCTTAATGTAGAGACAGAGAGTGCATTGTGTGGGCTCTATATATGCAAACGTTTCAAGAGAGGTTATATGGAGACAACCACAATCAGCAAACACCTTGCTTTATAACACTGTTACTCCTCTGACCTCCCCTGCTTTTGCCATTATTGTTTACCTCCTGATAAAAGCTCCTGTGTGTCAACTATTATCCGATGCACAAAGTCAAACAGAACCAGTGTTTGCCCTCCCTGCAATACTGACTCCAATTATAATTGACATTAAACCTCATACAGGAGGCCATTAACAAGCACAAAATGCTTGTGTGAACCTAAACTAGTTGGCATTTCTTAGAACAAACACTAGTTGGTGATCCATAATCAAAAAGTCGATTCACGCAACAATTAATAAAATAGTTTTAACATTTAAGAATAAACTTTAAAATTAAGTGGATTTCAGATAACCTTAAACGATTTATTTATTGTCTTTCTTGCTGAGAGTTAAATTGATAGCACTCTACTTGTACGCTAAATATGCAACCCAGTCTCACGGCATTTCGTGTTATAGTCATGACATTTAATCTATTGATTCGTGTTCACCAACACGATTTTCGCATTTTTTTTGTGTCACAGAACGATTTTAAAAGCAATGTATTTCTATTGGTAGTGTGTTTCGTGCCCGCAGCACGTCTTTTTGTCTGGTCGGGTCTTGGAAGACCGGAAGCTGTGGGGTTCATAAAAACATGTTCTTACTCAATATCTTACCCTAAGCCTAACCCTATCCCTTTTATTTAAAATGATATAATGTTGGAGTTTTTTTGCCATCCGTGAGGAAAAGAAATGGGGCAAAGAGCCTCAGAATACTGAAATCTGTATTTTTTGTCATCTTTTTTTCCTTCTAATTTGTTATTATTATTTGGTGCAGGCACGAAACATACTACCAATAGAAATACATTGCTTCTAAAATCGTTCTGTATCAGAATACTGAAATCTGTATTTTTTTGTATCTGTTTTTCCTTCTAATTTGTTATTTACATTGCTTACATTGTGACACGAAAAAAAATTGCGAAATCGTGTTGGTGAACACGAATCAATAGATTAATTTTCGTGACTATAACACGAAATGCCGTGAGACTGTGTTGGAATATGAGGAGACAGTTAACTTAGATAAGCGCTAGCCCCTATCAAAGCAACAGTCTTACCCCCCGTAAAACCTAAATATTTCATTTTCACACCTTTTGAATGAATTATACAAACACAATACAACATATTAATTTATAAGCTATAGAGGTTCTGGTAGGCAGATTTGTGTTACTTTTGGAGTTAGCGCAGGCTAGCTATTCTCCTCTTCTATCAGTTTTTAGGCTAAGCCTGTGTGGGCTAAGCTAAGTTAGCTTCTGGCAGTATCTTCATATTTACTGTACTTCAATCAGGATGGTCAATTCTTATTCATCTAGCAAAAAAAGCTATTCCAAATATGTCTGACTATTCATTCAATTTGATTGTAAAATGAAATTGTAAAATTACCTGATAGCCAGAAACTAAAGCTCTATTTTCAGGCTTAAATTCTTCGTTAGAGTTGATGGAGTTTAATCTTCTAAAAGCTGCACCGACACAAAGAGACAATGCAAATCGAAACTGACGCATGAGTTGGATCATGTGAGTCAGACCAGCTGAGGTGTGTGTGTTGAGGGAGAGACTTAGTGGGTGGGGTGGCATCCACACAGCTTCAATGAAGACTTAAGGGACTTTTGAGTAATTGAAATTGTTACGGACACCATCGAGTTTGTGTGAGTGTTATGTCTGCTGAGTCGTCTTTGCCAAAGACAACAATTGGAAAAGGTGTGCGTGAGGTGAGAGCGCTTTGCATGGAATGTCACAGCTGATTTACATGTCATAAACAATTTGGATGTGTGTATTCTGCGTGTGAGTGACGATATTGCTTGCAGCGGTGCTAGTGGCTGTTGTCAGACTGGTGGTGTTTTTCCAGGGCCAAGGGGAGAATCTCCGGAGAGTGTGTGTTTGTGTGGGGGTGCCTGGCTCTCCACACGTGAGCTCAGCTGACCCAGTTCAGGAACTACATGCAGACCAGTGTGTGTGTGGCTACAGAAAGGGCCCGTTTGTTCAGATGTCCCCGCGGCCCCTCGCCCAGGAGTGAAGAGCTTTCAGAAAGTTCTCTCACGGACAACACGCGCACTACTAGGGCAAACAAATTAGGAGAAGGCTTTTTTCTTTTAAATAAAAACCAACGTAAGAACTTATGCTAGCAGTTTGTTTATTTATGTTCAAAACATTTTTTAACTTAAAGTTGAAATGGTATTTAAACTTTATTGTCAACATTAAGACTTTATTAGACATACAACAAATATATATCTTGCCCAATTATCTTGTCAACATATGTTTTGCCCTGATACTCTTCCTTAACCCACACACACCCTTTAAAACTGACTCTTCTCCAAACAAGTGGCCGTCTTGAAAACTGGTCAAATCAAGACGGCCTCGCCCTCCTCCCTCTCTTGACATACAGAAAAAGAGAGGGGTGTAGGAGGCACCTCACACTCCCCCCCCCCCCCCCCCCCCCGCACTGATTCATATTTGCACAACAGAACTTCTTCTTTCGAAAAACACACCCACAACAAACAGGGACTCGTAAAACACTCTAGGAAAAACAACTATTTCAGTGACAATGAGAAGTATGCGAGAAATGTCTGTGATGGGATGCATGTGGGTTGGGACCCATTCAGTTGGGAATGCAAAACTGGGCCTACTGGGTTAATGAGTTTTGACTGGTGGCTATGAGCTGGTGAGCAGTATCCCCAAAGTGAGATGATGAACAAATTATGATGGTAGCTCGTTTAGGAAACAATTTAGCATAAAAAAAAACATGTTTTGTCACGTTATTTAGTCTCAACGTGGTTGGTTTTAATAAAAAATTGCCATGGGGGGGCTTTGAAACCATGTATGTTTTCAAACTTAAATGTACATATTATTTCATCTTTATGGTGGAATTCTGTTTTCAAAGAAGTAAATGTAAGCCCCTCCCAGTGTTCCCCGAATGGTATTATGGTTGTTTTCGCAGTCAGACCACTTTCTGTTTTCTTCAGAGATACCAACAACACAGGGCATCATCTCTTTCCATACATACAGCAATATAATACAGAGACGTCCGTCACAAAACAATCTCTCCATTGTTGTACGAACAAGAAAATCAATCTTCTTGTTCGTACTGTCTATCGTTAGCAACACGGCTTTCGTTAGCAGCCTGGATAACGTTACTCTCCGAAGCAAAAAATCTACCCTAACATCCCAAAAAACTACTAACCAGATTTAAGTACTACATATGTTGATTTTTCTCTCACAGCTGACTAGCTACTGCGAAACTAAACTCAACAACAGGAAATCATGCAACACAATGTCAGGCTGGTTAAATCATATACAAATGAAATGGCTTTTCTGTAAGCTTAACTGGTTAACCTGGAACTGGACCATGCCTTTACATTCTGACCAAACCCAACTGGTACTGCCACATTTGGAACGCTAAACATTTGCTGCAATCTTTCAATTATTGGGATATAGCTAGTCAAGAAATGTTCCTATAATCTGTCCCTTTCCCTGTATCGACCAGGCATTATATTTATACTGGCACACATGGATGTAGACAATTTGTGTATTCAAAGACAGAAATTCAACAAATTACTCCAGGATCCCTTGTATGGACACTATTCAAACATGTGTGTTTTAATGAGTGGGAAATTAACAAGGTTATCACCCCAAAGCTCAACAAAACACAATGATCCAGACCCTTTGGGGTTGGGTAGCAAAACTCTTTCCCCATTTTTGTTATACAAGTTCTGATCTGAGTTGAATGAAGCACCAGCAGCTATTCATTCTCCAGAAGAGGGTCCTTATTTAGTGTGTAGGTAAGCTAGCAGGGTGGAGTTGCTCTGTGGTTAGCATGATAGCTTACAGCAGACCCACGCTGTCTACATGACTGCAAGACGGGTAAACATCCAAACAGAGATGCAGACCGGCACACCTACATCCATGCACCACCCACCCTGTCTTTCCCCATATCTCTGTTGTTCCTTGGTAAACACAGGGGAAGCCCATCAGGACATGACGACACCTTCCCAGTGAAGTGAGGTCGAGTTGGGAGGATCCATTTTGCTGTAACAATGCCCTCTCAGCACGAGATTGGGAAAACAGACTCCACGCATGAGAAAGCAACATGCTCTGCTCATTAAACCCCTCCCACCAATCTTTCCATTGTTAAGATGGGAGGACGGGGGAGCATAAAAAACCTACACCCAACCTGACAGGGTGACTGGATCCAAAGTTTTTACAACGGTCACATGACCTGTGCTGCAATACTATTGGCCTAGAAGGGCTGATATATGGCCTTAAAAGGGGGTGATGTCTTAACATGTTTCCATGATATCATACATTTCCTATACTTTCCAGGAGAACAGTGCAATGTTCATTCATTTAAGCATGAATCACTGTTAAGAAAGAACAGTGTATAACGGTTGTTCTCCATTGAGGAAAACCACGAATATACCCAATCACTTAATATTTATGGTCACAACACAACAGAATCACAATTTATTGTCACATGATCCATAGATTCCAATCAGTGGGAAGCTAACACACAAAAAGAGAAGAAAGGGCAAAAGAAAACCCAATTTGCAAGTAATATCATCAGAGAGCACACACACACATATATATATATATAAACAAAAGATTTTGCAGGTAAGGCTTATAATTATTTAATTTAAAACAGAACATGATTATCTGTAGTGTATTGGTTAAAAGAAGAGAGCAAAATAAAAGCAAATGTGCCAGAGATGATAAATGCTCATGAAGCAAAATAACAACCCAAATACTGTAAGCATGGACGTATGAATATTCCTAACCTGCAAAATGATTCCTCCATATAATATCAGCGATAGTCATTGGTGGGCCACCGGCAGGGTGTGGTTTACCTTTGTCATGGTCAGTCCTTATCATATCCATTAAGGAATTCTCCAAAGAGTGCAAGCTAAAAGCATCAAAGGGCCGATTCCGGTCCTGCAACACAGCAAAACAGGAAGAGGGTTAGGAGTTGACATATTTATAAAATAAACATAGGGAAGGACATACTTGTATCACTTTATAGCTGCTACATTCAACACATACACAGTGACATTCAGACTCTAGATCTGAACATATGATACTAGTATTAGGTGTTGTGAGTCGCTATTGTATACATAGACAAATACACAACCTGCCACTCTAATACACATTTGGAATAACCAACAGATAAGGAAACAATATAAATATGAAAAGCCTATGTTAAGGAACATAATGTTACAAAACTGGGGAGTGTGTGGTAGGGAAACTTTTTGGGAATCGAGCCTTTGCAGACAATTAACATGCACAAAAACCTAGATAACAGGCAAAGGGAGACCCCATAAAACATAACAGGGCCTCTTTAAACTCTGGTTGGTTGATTGCATTGCAAAGGCATATCAAAGGCAACAACCTGCATGTATCAACAGCTCCTATTTTGAGGTTAGAGCACAAGACAAGACTAATCTAAATTAAGGATCTGGGTCTAGATTTGATGGGTAATAAAAAGAGAAAAATAGAATGTATGTGTCTGCCCCGGGTATAATGGTGAACACAGCTGAGCTGATATTGTAAGGAAGATATTAATCTTAGTCAGAGGCTCCTTAAGCCTTCATATGTCAAAAAGCTACAATTAAAGTACAGACGATATTCTTCCCTGAGGAGCCCCATCTGTCAGGATTTAGATTGACTTTAGTACAGAATGTCTTAACAGAGAGGCAGCTTAAAGATAAAACAGCTCCTCCTTGGGCTTTCTCATAATGTACTCTTCACTGATCTTGTGACATTCTGGAGGTTTAATTCAGAGTATCTACCATTTTGACTACCATGCAACTGAACAGGGTTTCGACTAGAGCTGAAACAAATCCTTAATTATCAGATTAATTGAACCATAGACAAATGTTTTCAACAAAATGATGAATAATTGAATTGCCTAAATGGTCTCATTCCTTTATGATATAACATTGAAATATATACTGTTGAACAAAACAAGCAGTTTAAAGATGACATGTTGTGTTCAGAGAACTAGAGATAGATAATGATAACTACTTCACTAAATATTTTATACCAAACTATCAGGAAAACAGTTAATTACATTACATTACATGTTACTTGTTAGACGCTTTTATCCAAAGCGACTTACATACTCAATACTGTGGGCAATCCCCACAGGAGCAATTTGGGGTGAAGTGTCTCAGGGACACAACGACATGCTGACTGCAGTGGGATTTGAACCTGTGACCCCCTGATCCCAACACCTACACACAACCCACTGCACCACACGCCTCCACACAGTAATAACACATTTCAGTTACCACCTCAAAGTTGTTTGCACCACCAACCAGTAAAGTCTTTCACATAATCTATACATATTAACATCACTTTTATCATATCTGAATGGTAAATGGAATGGAGAAAAAAGATAATGTAGGGATATAATAGTACTACATCACAGTCACATGAGTTTCATTTAGAAATGTGTCCCCCCCCCCCTTATTTAAGACACATAGAATCTTTGGAAATGTAGGAGTGGGTTATTTACTGGGATATTTTATGTCATAGTACAAAACGTGAAGCCTGTGTTAAGTTCTGATTTTAATGGATCAGTTGAATGCATGACAATTCAGAGGTAGTTGATTCTCGCTAACAGACTGAAGTTAAGGATGAAATATGGAAGGGACTATGAGCAGTTATATCAATCTGCAGAAAGACGTTCTGCAGATTTAACAACAGAAGGACAGGAAGTAAACACTAGAGGGAACGGCAGAAGAAGAAGGACAGGAAGTAAACACTAGAGGGAACGGCAGAAGAAGAAGGACCAAAAATATTTCCAAAAAACCTTGACTTTGAGACGAGGGAACCTTAGTGGTCAAATGCTGATACATTTCCGGGGTTTAGGACTCATTCATGAATCATTCTTTTGAGTCCAGTACCGAAACAATATCCTCATGGTTAAACTGCTCATTGATCATGAAATGTTTAGACCCCCGCTGTGTTTCATTGAATCTATGAGAATGTCATGTGTGCCAAAGCCTGAGAGCCGGAGCCTGGAGCCTTGGCAGCTGTGTCCTGTGTCCGCTGTCCGAGCCGGGGCCACATTGTTTGCACACCACAGCTATTGTTGCCCATTCGGCTGAGCATTCAAAAGTGTTATTCCCTCCACTCTGAACCCGCGCCACGTAGATATAAATCTGCCCACTTGGTACAAACGGTCAACACTTGAAACGCTGAGCTTTTCGTTTTCTCCCCCCCACCTCCTCTCTGACACATGTGGATGAGCACAGTGACGGTTGGGGGTTGAGAGCTCAGTGTAGTCAAATGACCTAAAGAGATCATGTACAAAAGTCCCAAACAGACTGTTTAGACATCACATAAGAATCCCTATAGTGTGGAGCACTTATTCAGGTTTGCTGACACTGCAGCTCATCTTCCTCATGGCAGATAAACAAGATATAAAAGAGTTCATGAAGGGGGTCACAGTAAATAATAATTAAAATATGACTGAACAGTCGGCTTGTATAGGTTATAGGCTGCCATCTAATCCTGCCCTTAGATGGAGAAACAGACAGACATTGCTGCCATCCGCTGCAGCATAATTCTTTTAAAAGAAATGGCTTACTTATTAAATAAATCAGGAGCACTTTAATTGTAAGCTATATCTAGAATATTTGAACCACTTTACCTTGCCCTTTGCGACGGGGAACTGAACTCGTTCCTTTCTTGAGGCCACCAGACTCCATTGACAATCGAACCGTCCTGAAGAAAGGTTTTGCTGTTCTACCATTTCCTGACTGGTTAGTTGGTTTTGTGTTTGCCTTTGGCTAGTTTTGATTCATGGTGTTCTGGAAGGTAAAATTACTGTTTTTGTTGGTGCAGTCTGGTGGCTTTGAAGAGAGCATAGATAACAGCTTTACTTCCCCGTCACGTAGGGCTTTCTGATGCCAAGGTTAAGCAGAGAAAATGGGCTAAATATAGTGTACACTATGACTGATATTGATTTGTATAAGTAGAACCTGTTTTAGGCAGCTAAATACTACATTGCTTTGCTCCCGGGTCGATATTTTTGCTCGCTTCTCCAATCTGGGTCAACACCCATTACTATATTCTGTAGGTAAAACACAGACTAAATAAAGTCCAACCTCATGTCAAAAGATCCAAACCATTGCTTTAATGTGTAGAATCAAAACCAACAGTGCAACCTTAACCCTAATGAATATATGGAGCTTTATCCCATCTGATATTTATATTACATTAGACACACAAACTTGTCCAAGCTCCTGTCCTTTTGCATAACCATCAGCTAGCACTTGAGTGTGAGACTCAACATGTCAGTCCGCCTTCTAACTTTCAACTATTTGATCTGATATGATGTGATTAAGATCACAAGCGACCACACAATCGTCGCCCAGAACATCATTTCAAATCAAGGTATCTGTAGAGAAGCTCATGTGACTTTGTGTCTTAAGCTTCACGCTGACATGTTAAGTTGGATTCCCCACATTCCTCTGCCTTTAAGCAGCAGCCAGCAGCAGGCGAGTACGAGCACATAGGAGCACACACGGGACTCCACATTTGACCCTGTGTTTCACCTGGGGGCATCTGAGTAAGAGTGGGATCCACAGACTGACAGAACACCTGTCCCCAGCTGTCCCCATGACAGTGAGGCTGTACCGGTGTGTTCCCTGCCTGCTGCTCGCCTCAGCAGTTCTCTAAAGTCTCACTTCAGCAAACAGGGCGCTTGACATGTGGCACCCTGACCTTGCATCCTGGTGATAACTCTTCCCCAATCATGGCTGTAATTGCTAAATAGCTAAGTGTGGGCTACAGCCAGGAATGCATCACTGAGGGATCCATAAGTCTTTAAGGTCTAATAGGTAACCTTTCTGCATTAGGTTGTCCCAAAAATGAATTTTGTTGACTTTTCTTCTGACCTAGACATACAAGTCATTTTAATCAAGGGGTTGTCTTCCAAAAGCTGTTAAATAAGTAGTTTTGAGCAAACATTTAAAAAATAAACTTGTTAGATCTTGGTTGTAGGACACAAATTCTTAACGTGAAACTGCTTCATTTAGTGTTTTTATCTGGGGTTTTTCACCTGGCCCATTTGTTTTGAAGACAAGGAGACCTCTGTGGTTTATTATTTGGAAGATGACGATTCAGACAACAACTCCCATGATCCCTGTACTTGCCGGCATTACCTAACCCTGTCTTTTGTTCTGATATTAAAAAGGGGAATACATATTAAGTGCACTCCTCAAAAAATGTTAAAGGTCCCATGTCATGGCCATTTCTACTGATCATAATTCCACTGTTGAGGTATACTAGAATATATTTATATTGTGCAATTTTCCAAACTGACATTGGTTTCTAATACAGCATCTCTGTATAGAGCCGTGCCGCCGTGTTGGCGGCACGTTGCGGGGCTCACTGCTGTGAGGAGCGGACAGTGTGAGCTGGCTTACTGGTGTCGCTTTCTGGTTGCTGCGTGGGGTCTGCGAGACAGCGGGACACGGCGAAGCCCGGCTCGAGCACACACACACACCCGCAGCCTGGCTGTGGGTCTGTGTGTGTGCCGGGCCTCGCCGTGTCCCGCTGTCTCAGGCTGAGAAAAATAAGGCTGTGTGTGTGTGTGTGTAACGTAGCCGTTACGTCACTTAGCCCCTTACGTCACTTGGTACCCGGAAGAAAAATTTAAATCTCCAACGAGGCGTTCTGTGGCAGCATAGACAGGACTTTTCTGTGTTAGAGTTTTACTCCCTACAGGGTGTACTTTGAGGGTTTGTGACTCTGCAGACCGTTTACATGCAGAAAAAGCTACATAACACACAAGGGGACGGGTAATAACCGCAAAAGCATGACATGGGACCTTTAAACATGTTTGTGGTTCTGGGACAATCATGTCTTATTTTGGAGAAAATGTTCCTTATCATTAATTGATCCCCAAGCAATATGATGAATTGATCCAACCAATTCAATAGCATTCGATTTACAAGATGTGAAACCGAGAAGGAAAGGAAAATACTTTCATCTAACTGGCTGGTAGAAGCAGATAGATGGAATTTTTTTCCTAGCAAATTAAAACTGAACATTTCACTCAAACAAATGACCAGAAAATATTGCGTCATGTTTTAACCATCTGGCGACACTTAACCACGTGAGAATAGATGACTGTACCGGTACGTAATCGCTGCTGTGTGCCCGCGTTTCACTTCAGCAAACAAACAACTCTATGCAGCATGACATTTGGCCATTTGACCTTGTCTCCTGGTGATAACTGGAGGTGTAAGCTGGCCAAGTCTGTGAAAAAAGATAGAGGCACTCAACAGAGGAAACTGTGTAATAAAGCCAGAGGAGGCCTCAGTGACACAGACAATCATCATTTCCTCTAAAGGCTATACGTTTCAAGCTGGCTGGAATTCACCCTGCGCCAGGCTGTGTTTCGTCTGCACATGTAGGCCTCTCTGCAGTTACAGGTTAACGTTTTGGCTCGTGCTCCATTCTGCGCAGTCTTCGCTTTGATTGGGGGAACAAGTGCTTCTTTTTAAGTAAGTCGGTGGTGACTTAAGGGGGGAGCATTCAGCCGGCTTATTTTTCATGTTGGCTTGTTTGTCAGCCAGCATAACTAAACATAGGGAAACACATGACTAGCCATGTGAAAAAGCCATACAGTATTGGGACTGTTCACTGTGTCCCGTTTGGGGATAAAATCAGAAATACAGGAACAAAATAGGGATATAACAGACACTGCAATGCGGCAGGTTACCAGTTAACAATAATGTTCTTGTTTCCTTTGTCAACATTAATCATGCTAATCTTGCTAACAATTGCTCATCCCATGTTGTTATGGGACCCAACAGCAAAAATATTTTTTTGTATTTGGTTTAAACAACCTAACCCTTTCTATAACTAGAGTTATCTACATGTAATACTTTGCTTGTTAGCTGTCAAGTACATACAGCAGTTAATGTTAGCTAGGCTATACCGCTATGCTAATAAAGAAGGTTACCTATTTTGACCATTAATAAAGTTTGTTCGTGAGGTATTTCAGCAGAAACACGGCCGTGTAACAATGTAATAATAGTTTAGTACGGGCTTCTTGTTACTCTAAATTGGTTGTCCCTGCCTTCCTTCTCAATCTTAGATTCAAACTCCACCCACTATGCGGTCACAAGCCAATCAAATGTGAGTGTGGATGTTGCCTTGAGGCACTGTCCAACATATTGTAATTACACAGAAAGCATAAATAACAAAAGATACTGAAAATATCATCAGAAATATAAACAAATCGCACGGTAAAAATAATGTATTACTATCATTGTCATTATTGCCGTCTTCAGACAGATTGTATTATTATTGTTATTAATATTTGTTGTAGTAGTTGTAAAAGTAATGGTGTATCCATTTTAAAATAATGAGCATAACTGCAACATGGTTGCCACGAATTCCAAACGAACACAATTAAGCTTACAGTACTCAAGCAATTAGGCAAGATGGCCTGTATATTATACTATATGTTAAAAAGATGTATCTTATTCAATAAATCTTTGAAAACAAGAAATCCCTTTTGATCATGTGAGCTTGTAATAAAGTGTACTAACTGGAGCTTGTAATAAAGTGTACTAACTGGAGCTTGTAATAAAGTGTACTAACTGGTCCTGTCAGTGTAAATCCAGAAGCATACGAGCAGCACTTGAATGCGTCATATGTGACATGTCCTTTAAACCTCACATGCAGAGGGAATTTAACCATTTTAGTGCAGTAAACCCTGCAAGGCAACTAATTCTAGGAATGACTCAATGCGTTTGTCTTTGAAAGCGTACAAATAGCCGAGATCGATGAGTCATACTTAAAGGGCTTGCTGTCTCATTCAATATCTTTGACCTACACCACACAATCTGACAATCTGACAGAGAGCCAGATGAAAATGTGACTGCTACCAGCAAAACCAAATGGCCATTTATCAATTCACAAAGTCACATGGTGACACTGAAAATAAGGTATGTAATGCTGAAGTAACCACATCTTAATCAACAAAAAATAATAGCATGATACTAAAAGTGAAGACCTAAATGTAACCTTTGTGAAAAAACGTGAGAATAAAGGATATGAAAATGTGTCAATATGTATGATCTATGCTATAAAATTGCTAGTTGTTCCTATTGTTAATGTCATGAATAGACTATTAATCACCACAATAAAGTGACCTCTAATGAATCCATGGCACTGATGGGTTCAGGGTGACCTTATCAAAGGATAGGCCCTTTTTTCCTTCTGTCTCTGATGCTTAATATTTGAGTAGAATATATTGAAAACAATCACCCGATATTCATATTTTTGATAGTATGGGTACAACTAACGACATTGGTGCTCAATATTGGTTAAAGCAATATATAGTTAGGCCCAGGCCTGGAGAGTGCTTTTACCTGGAAAGGCAGTATGTTGTTGCTGTTGTCAGTCCTGAAGGCGCTGTCCTCCATCCAAGGCTTTGGGGTGAGGGGACCGGGTCTTGGGAACTTGGGTGGTGCTATAACGTTGCTGCTATAGGGCTTTTTCATGGGGGAGATGGGGTTCAGGGGAGAGGGCACCCCGACACCGACTCCGACTCCAACCCCGACACCCACCGCTCTGCGCGGGTCCCTGCCCGCCTGCAGCCCGCTCCACGGGTTGGAGGCTGTGCTCCAAGCCGCGTTTTGGTGATTATTCCAAGCGGACGACGAACCAGAAGAGGACGACGACACTTTGCTGTTATTCATAATGGTCTGATAAGCGTTTCTCTGGGGGAAGGGGCCTTGGTTGGGGCTGACAGGGGATCTCCTCTGCTGGGGGGGCTGCTGCTGCTGCTGCTGCTGCTGCTGGGCTTGCTGTTGGTGCTGCTGGGACTGGGGAGCCAGACCCATCTGCGGGGAGAAATTCCCCCCGAACACCGGGTTGACATGATGGGGGAAGTTCTGGAAAAGCATCGTCCCGTTCACCGAGGGTATTCCCTGGAAAAAGCTGTCGTCCACGGCGGAGTTAGTGGTTCCCGTGGACCAAGTGCTCCCGTACGAGGAGGACGGGGAGGACAGGGGGCCGCAGGTCTCAGACTGCGGCTGGTGGTGATAGCTCAACCCGGGCAGGATCGGCGACTCCATCGGCATCTTGTCCCTGCTGTTCAGCGCTGAAGCCGAAGACGGGCTCTCCGACTCCGATGAAGAAGAAGTGGGCTCCGATGACGGGGTCGGGGTTGAGGGAGGAGGGTCTACTTGCGTCGGGTCTTGCTGATGGTGAGGCTGGGCTTTGTTTTTGTCCATCAGTAAATCATCCTGCATGGTTTGCTGAGCTGCAACGAGGGGAAACAGAGACGAGGATTTATTATAATGGCCGTAATGCAGGAGATCACACACCGGGCTGTTGTAGTATCTGATGAACTGGGACAGCTCCGACAAGGATATGATGTTAGAGGGAGCAGGCGACGCAAACGCGTGATCACCCATTTATCCGAACCGAAGTAGAGGAAAACACACTTCCCGAGGCTATACCATAATGATCGCCACAAATGACACACCGAGCATACAGCTGCTGCAGATATTCACCAGATTTCGCCACGTCTCGTTTTTTCCTTCCACGCAGGAACTCCGGAGTTGCAAACTCATTCAGTGTGTGTGTTTTTCACCCAAGGACCTCCCCCTATATTCATTTACATACGTCAGTTAATACAGCTGTCCTTCAAATAAGGCATGGTGACCCAGGCACTTCGACACACGCGACCACAGAGCTGTTATAATAAAATACACCGACTTCAACCAAATGGCACACTTCGCCGCTTTTTATGCAGTGGGAAATGACGCACCTGAGCCGCTTTATTATACCGCAAATATATCTCATGTTACCATTACAATTAAAACATGTCAGTCTTATGCTATGCTATTTTTAACACGATGACAAAGATAATTTAACCTAGTAACCTAATACTCAATAAAAAAAGTCCATACATCAATGATATGATTTATAGTCAGGGGTTTTATTATAGCGCAAAGAGGGACTCTCCCTGAGGTCCGCATTGACACAGCAACGAGTAAGCATTATACAAGATGTACCCACTTGCATCTGAATAACTTATAGGCAATGCTGGAACATGACTGAAAGCTGTGTTTATCGAATATTCAAAGTTACACACTATATATTGAACCCTTTAACGCAGCCTTTACTTTGCATTTCAGAGACAACGCCTTGCCACTTAACAAGCACACCCTGGAATATTATCAGGACGTTAATTTTGCATTCAGAAAACCACATTATTAAACCCAACAGTGCAGTAGGCTAGGAGAAAATGCAAATAGACCACAATATGTCGGATCAAAGGCTGAGGAATTGAACACATCATGTCAGATGTCAGCACATCCATACCCTATAGTCAAATCACCCAACGTTGAAATCATACTAAATTAAAACCCATAATTAATGTTACACCCACAATAACACTGATGAAGCTCCGGAACCGTGACTGCAGGAGAGCTAGTATGCAGACAGCACCGAGGCCTCCCAATAACATGAATGCAGAGGACTGTAGACTTTCACAATGACAGTCCAGATGACATGTCGGATCATTTTACAAGTTTGGCTTTCAAGATAGTCGCAATATCCAGCATTGTACGGTGGTTAATGGTTAATCCGTGTTTTCCTCCTCCAAGAGCTGCGCTTCCAAGGTCATGAAAGCAGCATAATCAGCACCGGCCCTTTAAACCACACGCACGGCCAAATCCTGACCCTTCCAACGCCTGTTTATCGTGCCATCCGATACATTTCATGAATATGTCCTGCCATGATATCTCCCCTTTAATCCATGGTATGTCCCCTCTACACAAACGACAAAACAGCATGCAGACACAGATAGTGGTTGTTGATCTTCTTAAATTTGAATTACCTTTATCGTTCACCTTTTGGGGACTCTGTAAATAAAGATATTTCTGTTTGCCTCGTCTGGGTTTAGTCTGACAAACGAGCTACCCTTGTGCCGAGATAGTCAGCAGTTGCCTCAACAGCTGATTGACTGCGGCTCATGGGTGATGCCGCACAGGCTGTAGGGAGTTGTAGTTTTTCACTATGCAGTGGCAGTGGCCTTTTCTCTTGACTGCTGTGTAAAAACAAATCAGTTTCAAAGTTGACTTTTAAGTGAGGTTATACAAGATAACTTGTTGAAGCAACAATTACAAAAATAGTAAAGATTGATAAAAACAGTGTCTTTGTCTCTTTATTTATTTATCTCTCTGTATGGTTAGTTTGCTATCTAACATTATTATTACAAATAAGATCAATATGACTTGTTTTCATACATTTAGCAGAAAAAAATTGAATGAATAGTCCTCACTTTTATATTAAGTTAAAGACAAGCAAATGGGACAAAAATACTGCTGCCTAAATAAAACATACCTCTATTAAAAGTGTTTTGTTGCCATATTTGCATCTTCATGATAGTTGTATCTTCCATAAGTCGTGGTGTCTCTTCTGCACATCTGCCGGGAGTGGATTTGACAACATGGATTTGATGTGGGCTTTAAACGGATGGAGGCATTATGAAACTACATTTCCCATGCACGTGGAATGATACCCTTTGCGGTGCCGTCCTTGTTTTGATGACGCCATCACGCACAGCAGAACTATTTTGCGTCACCTCAGAGACGGCAGTTAATGGAGTAATGCGGTCACGCCAAAACGATAATGTTACGGACAAACGGGGCCGTAGCGGATTCAAAGTGGATTTATTAAAAGCGTGACATTGCACCGGGTGCAGATACATGGTATCAGACTACCATGACCGCAGAAGCATAGGTTTATGCGCAGTAATTGGCTCGTGTGCAGCTGACTCGCCGTGTCAACACAAAGGCCTATGTAGCTTGTTAGCATTAGTTCACCAGCTAGTTAGCTTTAACGCCAACCTCAGCTGTTAGCAAACTAACAGGCGTGCCATTTTAATGTTTTTACTGTAGCCCAGTTAATCTGCTCAGCCTACAAGACAGCATTGAGGTGTTTGTTGCCCTTCTGCGATAATGGGGGAACAGGGTGCGGTGGTCTCGCAGCAGAATTTGGACAGGTGAGTTCAAGTTTAATGCTAGCATGCTAATGGTGGCTACGTAGTTTTACGTAAAATCTGACAGATGAGGGGCGGGGAGGGCATGTTGACTTCTCCCCCTCCCCAATGTGACATACGTTACATTGAGAGAGAGAATGATCGTTTAAACCTAGTACTGACTTGAAACTCAGTTTTAACTATCATCAACATAAGCTTATGGTATTTTTGCAGTGTTTATACAGGACGTCCTTTGCTATTGTCCTATCAAATAATATGATTAATGCAGGAACTAATCTTAATTGCTGCACATCATTTTGACTATATTCCTATTTACATTATGATATATTATCACGGTAATATATTTACCACGTAACTAAAATTAATAGTTTCAACTGCCACGTGTGATGAACTATTGACCTTTGTTGCTAAGGAAGGTTCTGTATCCAGTAATATTTGTTAAAATGTCGTTCATAGTTAACAATTATGATGGTACTGAATGAGTAAACCGCCTGTGTATCTTTCAATTTACTCCCCAGGATATGTAAACAAATACAGGTGCATACAAGACCTGCAAATATCCAGTTACTTGAATACATTTATTTTTGTGCGCGTGAACAAAGTTTGTGTTCCCACACAGATTTATAAAATAGATACAATTATTTTTAGCATACACTGAGAACAATGCCTGAGTGAATGGTGAAGGTTTCTCATGTCCTTAGGAAAAACGGTATGAGAGAGGAAGTGCAAACAGGTGTCATATGTCAATAGATTGTCAATAGTGAGTGTGGAAATATTTTGCACTGGAATGGTTGGAGAACAAAGAATGCTAAAACTACAGTGAGTGTTTTAAGGGGTAACATTAGGGTTTGCAACTAACAAATCTGCCAACAAAAGCATGAAGCAGGGAAATCTCCAACCGGACAGCTACATAGCCAATATTTGGAAAATAATATTCTTAATGAATAACCTTTTTAACAATTGCACTTGGCTAGCTTTGAACACTTGAACATGACTAGCTTTGTGTCATGATGTCAAACTGTCATGGCTGTCAAATGCCTGTACACACACGTTAGTGAAACTCTTTTTAGTCCCTTGCAGTGGCCATTTTTACAGCTGACATTTAATGTGACATTGCATTTTCTGACACGTTCTTGATATCCCAAAGCCTTGCTAAGCAAAATGGAGCACCTCAAGTTAAACAGATTCATGATCACATGGAAGGGAGATTCACAGGGACAGGTGGAGATTTTTTGAATGCTATAAATGCATAAAGTCCACATTTTAGATGATTTCAAGGCCCACAGTCAGCAATTCTATAAGTCTCTTGCAGCATAGTGAGGTTCTAAACCTTTCACAAAGATGGAGCTCGTCACTATGGTGGTCACACCAGACATAAAATGCGCACACTGCAGCCTAAAATTCATGGCTGAAAGACAAGCTACCAACCTCTCGAGGCTCAAGTTAAACACACATCAGCACATAAATATTCTGCCTCTGTTTAGCTTCTTAGGTCATGGCTACAGCTCAGTTCCGGCTTTGAATATTTCCAGTGTTGTTGTTGTGTGATGCATTTTTTTGGGTTGATGCTGCTCTAAAATGAAACTTTACTGCATCTGCTGCTTTTGAAAGTGTAAATTCAGACTAAATTACATCGTAATATAGTTTACATATTTTGTAGGCAGACCTGGAATTGAGCATTGCTAGGGCTCTCAACCTAAATCATTTAGGATGCATCACTGCACCACTCTATAGTGAGAACATTTGAAGCTCCCGGGGCTTAAGTTTGATGGCATGAAATGTCACACAAATTTGATGTATTGTGTGTATTAGACATAAATATCTTTAGTGAGTTATGTTTGCGTTTAACTTGTATTAACAGTAGAGGCTTAGTTTCTTGGGCCTAGAAGTAGCTTCGATTGATGTGCAATTTGTTAGGTTTCTTTTTTGTAGCACTAGCTAAACACTATGCAGTTGTGAAACTCCATTAAATGAAAGGCATGGGAACTCAAATATGGACTGCCTTTCTGTGGCATAGCCATCTAGATTTAGAAGGACACTTCAATTGCATAACACAGTTTAGGATAAATTGTACTGGCCTAAATTATTGGAGCCATTCTAGTTAACCAGTTAAGCCCCATGCCCCCGGTACCGGGTGGGGCAACATCTTGCAAGAAACAGCGTCTGAGGGCTTCTTAACATTTAATAAACTATGAATGTGTCATACTCACTTAATGGGAAGAAACTCAGCTATCAGACAATATTAACAATTTTTAGCTAAAGAAAATACATGGTTAATAACAAAGGCTCTGAATTAGCCCTGAGTGGAAAAATGCTAACGCACTTAGCACAGAACTCACGTTAACATACCCTTTTTACTTATCGGATCTGCACAAGCAAGATATCAGCTAGCAAGCTGAGATTCCAGAAATATTAGTATCAAAACTCGCGGCAGGGGAAGCAAACACAGACATCACACAACATAGCTTTATGGAGCAAGCACGGGAGATATGTCTTACAGGGTTCTTACGGTCATTAAGAACCTGGAAAAGTCATGGAAATTCAAAATGCTAGTTCCAGGCCCTGGAAAAGTTATGGAAAACAATATTTTTCCCAAAGTTTTGGAAATGTAACTAAAGTTGCATCAAATATAATTTATATTTGATCTAATCGCCGAAATAGTAATACTATAATGATAATAAATACTGTATCATATAGTAATGAAACGTAAAATAGCATTTAACTGTCGAGGTATTTTGCTGGTGAGAGATTTTAGTTGCTTTAGCGTGTAGAAGCTAGTAAGCCTACTATTTGATTCAGACCTTATTTTCCTGTTCCATGTTAAAATAAACCATTTTCAGTGGTACGCTGAGAAAGAGTAATTTTTTTGGTCATGGAAAATTAGGTAAAGGTCATGGAAAAGTCATTGAAAATCATTGGTGAAAAAGTGTATGAACCCTGGTCTTACCTTTTGCTGTTTCTGATCAAAAGTTGCGTTCAATGGCATTAAAACGACAAAAACGCTGCTGAAGGTTAATCCAATGTGTCTGTCACTTTGAAATGATTACTGAGAATCCATCTTTATATTTATGTCAATAACGAAGTTTTCATATTAGCTGCTACCAGAGTGTATGACAGCTTCCGGTTTTAGGAATTCTGGCTACGCATCACTCATTCACCAATGGGTAATGTTTAGGTGGATTTTTAGGAACTTCCCCTCGATTCTATTGGCTCTAACGGTTAAAAAGAGGTGTCAATCATCAAAATCAACCGAGGGGGGCCAGAGATATTGAAAATCCACCCAAATGACCCCAGAAGTGTTTTTTTTTGTTTTGCTAAATCTCTCTAAAAAGGTCAAATGTCACTTGTTTTGCATCAATCTTGATACAGGGTACTTATTATATGTTATAGTTTGGATTCCTAAAGCTTTTAGTATGCTATCCCATCATTCAAGGGTGGTTTTCACTATAAGTCAGTGTGAGAAAAAGTGTTTAGAGAGTACTTGTCCATGGACAAGTGAGTTTGGCAATTTACATTTTTCACTTGTCCAGAATGGACAAAAATTGGGGCCACTGGAATCTTCTTCTTCACCATCGTATTTTACATTTTCCAACCACACATGTCCAACACATAGGCCTAATAATAATAATAATACATTATATTTATAGCCTATAGGCCTAGCGCTTTTCTACAACTCAAAGACGCTTGCACGCTTACACATGTCCTGCAATACACATGCTGCAGCTGCCCAGCTGCTCACTGTTTGTAAAAGTAAATAAATAGTATAAATAGCATTTCAATAATGTAATTTCTATACCCTGCTTCATAAACAATACTGACATCCCTGTGCTCCTCCGAGTCTGGGGGTCCGGGGATGTGAGGACAGCGCGAGGACACAGAGAGGGAGGCTGCTTCACTTCATAAAGGAAATGGTGGTCAATATTAACAACACAGGAGCTAAAACACTTAATAACCTTCATTACGTGTTAGAGAAAGAACATAAGAAAGTTTGACAAAGATGAGGCTGTTAAATGGGCAGCGGATCCGCTGTGTGTAGAAAGAGAGAGAGACGCACACTGTATAAGTAATGTTTTTCTTTTGGACGGACACTATAATTTACCTTTTTTTACTATGTTCAATCAGAATTTTCTTTAAAATAACAATAAATCTATATTGATTCAGACTTTTCTACATCCAACTCACAGGTTTATCCTTGCTTTGAGAAAAAAGATTATTCATTTACCTCTTTTAGAAGTGAAGTTATAGTCATTTGTTCTGGGAATGTCATTTTCGAGCCTGAGGCCTGAAAAACAGGCTCGGGCTTAACTGGTTTAAAAGAGGGCATTTTAATTGTTGTTTTCTAACTAGCCGATACCAATTTAGTGAGCAGTTGCATCTTGGGACCCTTGATCTATCACAAAGCACAGATGAAACAATGTCAGAGATGAATAGTAGGAACAAAGAGTTCTTACCTCCCAAGAAGGGGAAGATGAAAATGTTTGTTAAAGGTCCCATGTCATGGCCATTTCCACTGATCATAATTCCATTGTTGAGGTCTACTAGAATAGATTTATACTGTGCAATTTTCCAAACTCACATTGGTTTCGCATACAGCATCTCTGTAAAGTATGTGTATTCAGCAGTATTCACTCTCTCCACTAAACGGCTCGTTGCAGCTCTTGCCCCCCCCCTCCCTGTGAGCCCAGTGTGCTCCGATTGGTCGGGACCAGTCGGGACGTTGTGAATCGCGCTGAACTCCGTGGAGGTGTGATTTCCTTGTTTAGCGATACACAGCGAAACACAGCCAAACTCACCCTGAGCACACACAAAGTCACAGCCGAAGTAAAAACAATAAGTGTGGCTTGATATTGAGTAAGAAAAAGGTTGATAAACGCTGTGAGAATGGGTCTGCAGAGAGAATTTCTGCAGCCAGGGAGGAGAAATCAGCTGAGCTGCCTGCACTGAGTGTGTGAGGAAGTCCGTGGATTGGTCAATTTCGACAAATCAGCGGGGGTTTAACGTAA